CAAGCGGAACAGAGCCGGCCGCTATGATTGGTAAAGACAAGCTGCACAGTACCCCGCGCCCCACCAGTGCAAACACTGCCCCTTACTCTAAGGCGAACAAGGGAGACAGAACACCCGAGCACACAAAGAGCGGCCGAAAACCAAGCAGTAAACGGCCAAGCAGGGGCAGGACCCAAGGAACTTGTGGAAGGTGGCCCCAAGCCCCAAGGGCAGTACTTACAGGGCACCTAGGGAAGGGAACCCTAGGCGCATGCAGCCCGAGTACTGAAGAATCACTCCCGGCTCATGCACCACCTAGAAAACAGACACCACACTCTAGGTACAGTGCTGAAACAACCACTGGAGCCGGAGCACATAACCATTGCCTATAGCATCAGCCGAAGAACTGATGGGTGGATAGCCGGTGTGGGAGGTCTGGGGCTCCCCCTTCCCCTTCCTGGGGAGGGGGGAGCTGCGCAGACAGCGGCGCGGTGACGTATGACGTCATACTAGTTTCCTTGTTTTCTGTTGAAGAGTTCTATTCACTAGTTCGGCTTAGGTAGCAATTTTCACCAGAATAGGGGTTTGTTTTGGAATGCTTACCTTTCTGGATGCTTGACCCGGTCGATGGCAGACATAGAATGCTTCCAACCACACGGGGGTTTCTATAGGCCATTGCTCCCCTTGCCTCTCTGAGGGGGCCAGGTTCTGGCTCGTGGTCCCCGGTAGGCCCTAGAACTCCATACACATGACTGATGCCAAAGTCTGACATTAGCATATCAGCCGGTAAAGCTCCGGGGAGCCGACGGGGCTCCCCCCAGAAAAAAAGTCAAACAGGCCACAAGAATGAGGGAAGGGAATGTTCTGTCAATAATGAATATAATATTCACCAGGAAAGAAGAGGAGATATTTTCCATCCAGTACCTTCCTCTCTCTCTTGGGAAAGAGTGATCATGTCCTGTTGGAAATTAAATATGCTTTGCGATATAATCTAGAAGAGAATGGGGACATTGAAACAGTTAACAAGTTAACTGCACCAACCGAGTATTCTCGGTCGGCGGGAAACTGCGCCAACCGAGAAAACTCTATTTGATTTTTCGGTACCAATTCTAAATATGTACGAGGTTGGTTGTGTACGAAATGGACTCTTAGGACCTCCAGGGAGAGGCAGCCATCTTGGAAAAAAATTCCCAGAATGCCCTAGGGCTGCTGGCTGGGTTAGTACTAAATGAGCAACCATGGGTAGCACACGCGCCTCTGGCTCCCAAACACCTGTCTGATGCGGTGTTGAAAGATAATGCTCTGTCGGTGAAATTCAAACCTTATTGTTTGAAGAACATAAGGGTCATAATATTGGTGAAGCTAGGCGCAATAAGGACCTAACACGAAAGTCGGATGCAAGTGATACAGCACCTATGAGGACGATACAGCGAGCGTATCTAGTTGTAGCTCTAAGCGTCACCCTTGCAATTCTATGCTATCTCCAATTTATTTAGATGATACATAGATGAATCATCTTCTGCGTTCAGTGATGATGCATCTGATACAAGTAGCATAGATGAACAGTGTTAGCAGCTTCCATGGTGGTGTTTTCCATAGATATTTTCAAGAATACCTGAATCTCTTCCTAACTGACAGACACTCTTTGAGGCTAGCTGAATCTCTTTCTGACTGACGGACACGCTTCGAGGCAAGCTGAATCTCTTCCTGTGTGGGACCATACAAAGCGATCTTTTCAAGACTACCTTACAAATTGATCTTTTCCTATGATGTTTTCAATGCTACCTTATGCTTTACAAGCATGGCTACATACAACATACAAGTACTAAAGCCAAGGGTGTACGTGAGTGCGTTATTTGCAAGCACACAGAATGAAGAAACAGGAAGCGAAAATTTATCTGGACCTGGTGAACTGAGAGCGAAGTCGCGCTGTGTAGGGGGCCTCATACCCTGGTGGATAGCGTGCAGGACTCGTAATTCTGTGGCGCGGGTTCGATTCCCGCACGAGGCAGAAACAAATGGGCAAAGTTTCTTTCACCCTGAATGCCCCTGTTACCTAGCAGTAAATAGGTACCTGGGAGTTAGTCAGCTGTCACGGGCTGCTTCCTGGGGGTGGAGGCCTGGTCGAGGACCGGGCCGCGGGGACACTAAAGCCCCGAAATCATCTGAAGATAACCTCAAGATAACCTGTGTACCATAGACTACTTTGTTGATTATTACTCACTTCCGAAGTACTTAGTGTGTAATACAGTGTGTTACTGTGTAAATAGTGTGTGAAACTGTACATATTGTAATTTTAGTGAATTTTTAACAAGTAATATTGCGACAATAAACATTTATTGTGGACACATTACTGACACATGTATCACAGTTCCATGGAACATTATCAACGTTCTACCGTACACATATTGTAAAGGACACAAACATGCATCATACACGATAAAAAAACATATAAAACCGCATTAGAAATACATAAAACAAATAATTGAAAATATATTTGTGGCAACACCCGGTGCTTGAATGGCCCGCGCGACCGTGTCTGGGCGAGTCACACACGGGCGACTAGGCCCTGATGACGTCACAGCGCACCTTGTCCACGTCCCCACAGCCAAAGTAAGTGGAATTTGGTATTTATTTTTACATAGACATGTTCAGGGAAGGGAATTTATCATTTTACGAAGAAAAAAGAATTTTGGGGGGGAACACTATTTCATGTGCACCGGGGAATTTCACAATAAATTCAGCGCACCATGGTGGTTAATGAACTCAATTTCAAGAGAGGATATTATGGGAAACTTAGAAATTTCTTTAATGAGTTTACTTGGACAAACTTGTTGCTAGGCAAGGAAGTAAATGAGACGTATGTAAAATTTTGCAAAATATACAATGAAGGCACACAAACATTCATACCAAAACATAGATACAGGACCAGACAACAGTCTGCCTTCCCCTCCCTACTTGCACCAAGTGTCTGCCTTCCCCTCCCTACTTGCACCTAGTGTCTGCCTTCCCCTCCCTACTTGCACCAAGTGTCTGCCTTCCCCTCCCTACTTGCACCAAGTGTCTGCCTTCCCCTCCCTACTTGCACCAAGTGTCTGCCTTCCCCTCCCTACTTGCACCAAGTGTCTGCCTTCCCCTCCCTACTTGCACCTAGTGTCTGCCTTCCCCTCCCTACTTGCACCAAGTGTCTGCCTTCCCCTCCCTACTTGCACCAAGTGTCTGCCTTCCCCTCCCTACTTGCACCAAGTGTCTGCCTTCCCCTCCCTACTTGCACCTAGTGTCTGCCTTCCCCTCCCTACTTGCACCAAGTGTCTGCCTTCCCCTCCCTACTTGCACCAAGTGTCTGCCTTCCCCTCCCTACTTGCACCTAGTGTCTGCCTTCCCCTCCCTACTTGCACCAAGTGTCTGCCTTCCCCTCCCTACTTGCACCTAGTGTCTGCCTTCCCCTCCCTACTTGCACCAAGTGTCTGCCTTCCCCTCCCTACTTGCACCAAGTGTCTGCCTTCCCCTCCCTACTTGCACCAAGTGTCTGCCTTCCCCTCCCTACTTGCACCAAGTGTCTGCCTTCCCCTCCCTACTTGCACCAAGTGTCTGCCTTCCCCTCCCTACTTGCACCAAGTGTCTGCCTTCCCCTCCCTACTTGCACCAAGTGTCTGCCTTCCCCTCCCTACTTGCACCAAGTGTCTGCCTTCCCCTCCCTACTTGCACCTAGTGTCTGCCTTCCCCTCCCTACTTGCACCTAGTGTCTGCCTTCCCCTCCCTACTTGCACCTAGTGTCTGCCTTCCCCTCCCTACTTGCACCTAGTGTCTGCCTTCCCCCTCCCTACTTGCACCTAGTGTCTGCCTTCCCCTCCCTACTTGCACCAAGTGTCTGCCTTCCCCTCCCTACTTGCACCAAGTGTCTGCCTTCCCCTCCCTACTTGCACCTAGTGTCTGCCTTCCCCTCCCTACTTGCACCTAGTGTCTGCCTTCCCTCTCCAGTATCACATAATAAATACGGCACTGACTGCTCATTATATGATAAATGCCATTTATTGCCCATCACGTGATCAATACAGCAGTGACTGCTTATTATCACATGATAAATACAGCAGTGACTGCTTATTATCACGTGATCAATACAGCAGTGACTGCTTATTATCACGTGATCAATACAGCAGTGACTGCTTATTATCACGTGATAAATACAGCAGTGACTGCTTATTATCACGTGATAAATACAGCAGTGACTGCTTATTATCACGTGATAAATACAGCAGTGACTTCTTATTATCACGTGATCAATACAGCAGTGACTGCTTATTATCACGTGATCAATACAGCAGTGACTGCTTATTATCACGTGATCAATACAGCAGTGACTGCTTATTATCACGTGATCAATACAGCAGTGACTGCTTATTATCACGTGATAAATACAGCAGTGACTGCTTATTATCACGTGATAAATACAGCAGTGACTGCTTATTATCACGTGATCAATACAGCAGTGACTGATTATTATCACGTGATCAATACAGCAGTGACTGCTTATTATCACGTGATAAATACAGCAGTGACTGCTTATTATCACGTGATAAATACAGCAGTGACTGCTTATTATCACGTGATAAATACAGCAGTGACTGCTTATTATCACGTGATAAATACAGCAGTGACTGCTTATTATCACGTGATAAATACAGCAGTGACTGCTTATTATCACGTGATAAATACAGCAGTGACTGCTTATTATCACGTGATAAATACAGCAGTGACTGCTCATGTGATAATTACAGGCGTAACTGGTAATCACATGAAAAATTACAGCAGCGACTGCTCGCCATCACATGATACAAGTCACTGTTCATCATGGCATGATAAATATAAGAACATTTGTTCACCACGTGATAAATACAGCAATAACATAGCAGCTGCCAAGCCCCCCACAGCTGGCTCGGTGCTGGGCTGTGCCACCCTGCTGACGGGAGCTCTTGTCTCACAAGGCAGCAACAATGTGTGTGTGTGTGTGAGGTTCTCACCCTGATCTCCAGCTCGTGCTTGCGGGCGGCGGCGTGGGGCCAGGCGGCCAGGGCCACAGCACACACCAACGTCACCTTCACCGCCTCCATTGTTGTCCTCAGCCGTCGGCCATGACACAACATTCAACATGCCCGAAACGCTTTGCGTAATTAGTGGCTTTAGGCATTGTATGTACTACCTCTATCTATAAAATCCATCAATCTTTGTCAAATCTCTCGTATGTATGTATCTTACCTAAATAAACATTTATTTATTATTTTATATTTATTTATAACACTCGCTCTCATCGCCACACTTAACACTCACGTATTTGGCCTCACCATTATTGGCACATTTTGCCCTCATTTTATATATTCAAATTAATATAAACATATTTGATCTCTGCAGGTTACTTCGGAAATATATTCATATAAAAAAAATTGCGGCAATTGTGAATGTGTGTTGACATAACACAAGTCGCAGCTGATTGGCGGAGACGCCAGTTGTTGTTGTTTACGTCCATGTAGCCCAGGCTGGTGTTTGCGTCCATGTAGCCCAGGCTGGTGTTTACGTCCATGTAGCCCAAGCTGGTGTTTACGTCCATGTAGCCCAAGCTGGTGTTTACGTCCATGTAGCCCAAGCTGGTGTTTACGTCCATGTAGCCCGGGCTGTTGTTTACGTCCGTGTAGCCCGGGCTGGTGTTTACGTCCATGTAGCCCAGGCTGGTGTTTGCGTCCATGTAGCCCAGGCTGGTGTTTACGTCCATGTAGCCCAAGCTGGTGTTTACGTCCATGTAGCCCGGGCTGTTGTTTACGTCCATGTAGCCCAAGCTGGTGTTTACGTCCATGTAGCCCAAGCTGGTGTTTACGTCCATGTAGCCCAGGCTGGTGTTTACGTCCATGTAGCCCGGGCTGTTGTTTACGTCCATGTAGCCCAGGCTGGTGTTTACGTCCATGTAGCCCAGGCTGGTGTTTACGTCCATGTAGCCCGGGCTGGTGTTTACGTCCATGTACCTCGGGCTGTTGTTTAAGTCCATGTAGCCCGGGCTGGTGTTTACGTCCATGTAGCTCGGGCTGTCGTTTACATCCATGTAGCCTGGGCTGTTGTTTACATCCATGTAGCCCGGGCTATAGGGACCCCATAACTGAGTTTGGTTATTCGGATAACCTTTGTACTGTAATATTTGGGTCAAATTTTTAAATGAAGGTAGAGTTAACTTCTTTTTGCACTGATTTTAGTTTTGTTTTGTTTTAATAACTGTATCTTGGTGGCGGATATAGATGGGAGTGTGACCCGGTTGAGGATGAAAGTGTGAAGCACGTTTAGGATGAAAGAAATTTCGTTTAGCTTGAGAAGAGGCACAGTTTATGAAATGTTAGTGGGGGGGGGGGTAACCAAGGCGAGAGAAAGATTTGTAAATTAAGGAAATTTAGAATCAAGAAATTTCATAGTCCCAAGCTAAATGAAAATTCTTTCAACACTTTCTCTCTCCGATGGTGCTTATATCAACCCGTTCTCGCACTTTCGTATAGTCAATATTGACTTATTAAATACGTGCATATGTGACATACTAATTTATTTTGAATATTTTAGTTTACTTTGAAAAGCTTCATAGAAAAACATGACAAAACAAAACAAAACAAGCTTCATAAAAAACATGACCTTGAGAAGAAGTATAGGTTAGGAATTGTCTCCAAAGAATTCTCAAAGAATTACTCATTATTGCTATCTAAGATAATTAGACGAGCCAAAACTAAATACTACGAAGATAAATTTACCCAAATAAAGAGCAACATTAAACAAACTTGGAGAACAATTTCACAAATATTGGGATCAAAGAAGTCTTTAAATAACAAACCGACTCTCCTGTCTAATAACGATGGTCAGCTTTCAGCCACTGATTCTGCTATTGAGTTCAATAGGTTCTTCTCTTCCATTGGTTCATCCCTTGCTAATGATATTCCATCTTCCAGTACTGACATTAAGGACTATCTTACAGGTAACTATCCACAGTCTCTGTACCTAAAGCCTATTAATTCCACTGACGTCAATGAGATAATCCTTTCCCTTAAAACCAAGTCTGGTGCCCTTGAGGAGATACCAACTTTAATCTACAAAAAAGCCTCCAGATCTTTAGCCCCTGCTATTGCTTTGCTCTTCAACAAGTCACTTGAACTCCAAACCTTTCCAGATATTCTAAAAAAAGCGAGAGTAACGCCTGTCCACAATTTTTTTTTTTTTTTTTTTTTTTTTGAGATATATACAAGAGTTGTTACATTCTTGTACAGCCACTAGTACGCGTAGCGTTTCGGGCAAGTCCTTAATCCTATGGTCCCTGGAATACGATCCCCTGCCGCGAAGAATCGTTTTTTCATCCAAGTACACATTTTACTGTTGCGTTAAACAGAGGCTACAGTTAAGGAATTGCGCCCAGTAAATCCTCCCCGGCCAGGATACGAACCCATGACATAGCGCTCGCGGAACGCCAGGCGAGTGTCTTACCACTACACCACGGAGACTGGTTGATCTGGATGAAATGTGGTGATCTCACAGATGTTAACAACTACAGACCTATATCAATCCTGCCAAACTTGTCAAAAAATTTTGAAAAACTAATCTATAAGCAGCTTTACTCATATCTAGCCAAACTCAATATACTTAGCCCTTGCCAATATGGCTTCAGGCCCAAAAAAAGCACTAACGATGCACTTATTAGTATGCTTAACTCGATTCATACAGCTCTTGATAGAAATGAGTTCCCTGTTGGGTTATTTGTGGACCAGCGTAAAGCTTTCGATACTGTCAACCACCAAAACCTTCTTCTTAAATTACATCATTATGGTGTCAGAGGACACTCCCTACAATACCTCAAATCCTACCTTACTGACAGGCTCCAATGTGTTTCTGTGAATAATACAATTTCTCCCACCCTACCCATCAACATTGGTGTTCCCCAGGGCAGCATACTTGGCCCTCTCCTCTTTCTCATCTACATTAATGACCTTCCAAATGCCTCCCAACACCTCAAACCAATTCTATTTGCTGACGACACAACCTTCATTTACTCCAGTCCTGATCCCCTTGCTCTAAATGCCACAGTAAATACTGAGCTAAATAAAGTCCATCTGTGGCTAACTGCCAACAAACTCACCCTTAACATTGACAAAACTTTCTATATTCTGTTTGGCAATAAATCCTCTAATCAAATAAATCTCAAAATAAACAATACCCAAATTTGTAACAAATTAGATGGCAAATTCCTTGGCATTGTCATTGACCACAAGCTGAATTTCCAGGGACACATTCTAAACATATCAAAAAAAGTTTCAAAAACTGTGGGCATTCTTTCTAAGATCAGATATTATGTACCACACCCTGCCCTGGTGACTCTCTATTACTCCCTTATCTATCCATATCTCAACTATGGTATTTGTGCTTGGGACTCTACTACCCAAAATCACTTACGTCCTCTAATTACTCAACACAAAGCTGCTATTAGGACAATATCCAATTCTGGCCCCAGACATCACTCGGTACCCCTACTCAAATCTCTGAATATGTTAGACATTAAGTCACTGCACATTCTCTCATGTGTATTATACATATATAAAACGCTAAACTATAATGCTAATCCTGATCTCAAAAGCTTCATAGAAGGTTGTAACAGAACCCATGAGCACCACACCAGAAATAAATACAGTTTTGATATTCCTAGAGTACGACTTAATCAAACCAGAAATGCTCTACAAATCAAGGGGCCCAGAATGTGGAATGACCATCCCAACTATGTTAAAGACTGTACCTCTCTCAACCAGTTTAAGTTAAAAACGAAGCTATACCTAATTAATTCTCTGTAATCTACCTTACCCCTCTGTTGTCAACCCATGTATGTTTTTTTTTTTTTCAAATCAACGCTGTTTGAATGTAATTTTCTGTAATAATTTGTAATTGTATTTGTGCTGCTTTTTCAACAATGTTCCCCCCTCTTTTACCTCTATTTTTATTTGTTCTCAACACATTTTATTCTTTTTCCCATTAGTTTTAAGCTTTAGTCATTAATGTTTTTCCTGCCCGAAACGCTTTGCGTAATAGTGGCTTTAGGCATTGTATGTACTAGCTCTATCTATAAAGCCAACAAACTTTGTAAAATCTCTTTATGTATGTACCTTACCTAAATAAAAATTATTATTATTATTATTATAAAACACCGACCTTACCTAACCTTCTTAGTATGTTAAGATAAGCATCTTATTGCTTCGTAATTACAATTATTACTTAACCTATTATAGGTTAAGTAATAATTGTAACCTATTATAGGTATAGGTTAAGTAATAATTGTAATTACGAAGCAATAAGTTGCTTATCTTAACATACTAAGAAGGTTAGGTAAGGTCGGTGTTTTCTATGAAGCTTTTCAAGGTAAATTAAAATATTCACAATAAATTAGTATGTCACATATGCACTTATTTAATAAGTCAATATTGACTGTAAGAAAGTGCGAGAACGGGTTGCTTATATATGTGGCATAAATTTTTCTCCATAATGTGAGCCGATGACAATCGCGCGCGTCATCCATTAAAATATTTGTAAAAAAAATAAATCTTCATCCGAGCAACTTCTAGGTGGTTTCAACATGAGCGCCTTTAGATTGCGCACAATTTGATACCAAAATGAAAGACGTAACATGAAAATTAATGTCAGAACATTGGGAATTCTCATTATCTTCCGATGTAGACCTGACCAAATGTAAACTGTGTCAACAAAATTATTCGCACACCCTCCGTCATTATGTGATGGAGTGCGAAAAGATACGTGAATTTAGAGACAATTCTATAATCAGTGTTCCAACGATGTGTAAATATTTCATTCAAAATTATCTGCTACCAGAAATTTTAGCCAAATATCCCCAGTTTGCTAACTGTAGGTAGTAACTGAGTGATTGTAACCTATCCACCGCTGCCCACTGGATGGGGGGCGGTGTGCAGGACAAACATATCAATTGTGACACTAGCTCTCCACATATGTCAGTTGCTTAATTTAGAACCTGTACTTGTGGTTGATCTCGAACCCATTGTTGATATGACGACTTATATTAAATTTTGTAACTAGCTCATCAAGATTGTAACTTGCTTAGCTAAATGAATTGTGGGGTTCAGTCCCTGAGCCCATTATGTGCCTCTGTAACCCTTTCCACTACTGCCCACAAGATGGGTATGGGGTGCATAATAAATAAACTAAACTAAACAATGGATGAAACCCATGTACCGTCTTGTATATAAATAAATAAATAAATAAATGCTATTCTTCCATTTTAAGTTTGGTGGCCTGTATATAACTCCTATTATAAGATTTTTAGCTTTTTCGTTTCATTCTATCCAAATAGTTTCTGTGTATGGCCCAGTTTGTGATTCCCTCTTTGAGACTACATTTCAGATTGTCCCTAACATATGTGGCTACTCCACCTCCTCGTCTAATATATCTATCTGTGTGAAATAGTTTAAATCCGTTTATTTGATATTCAGCTAATAGTTCTGTTTTCTACATTCACCCACGTTTCGGTAAGTGCAACAATATCTATTGTTTCTGTGCAGACAAGAGCATTTAAATCATTTATTTTGTTTCTTAGACTCCTACTGTTAGTTTAAGATACCTTAAGTGTATTGCTATTTTGAGGCCCTTCTTCCTTGTTCATTTTCCCATTTCTCCCCACCAACAAATACATTTATTGTCTCCTTCCTCCATATCAGTTCCCATGCCACTATCTACTAACAGCTTCGGTTGCTCGAAACGCTCTACGTATTAGTGGCTTTAGGTATTGTATGTACTAGCTCTATCTAGAAATCCAATATTATGTGTGTAACTCATCTTGTATGTATGTACTTTTACCTGGATAAACATTTGATTTGATTTGATTTAAACCTGAACAAACCCTCTCCCACCACAGGTGTCACCTACACCTGTGGCACCATCAACAACATCAGCCCTAGATAGATGCACCCCATCCCGAGCATACATGTCATTTCTTCCCTAGAAGTGTTCCCAGTTATCAATGAATGATATTGCATTTAATTTACAGTATTTGTCCAGTCGGCAATTGACACCAAGTGCCCTCGACAA